AGAAAACTAAAAGATCATGATAAGGACGATGAACCGGATAATGATGATACTGTGGCAGTATCAGCTCCTTCGGGACATTTTAAACCACCTGAATCAGAGCTTATGCAGATCTTTCGCAATTTGACGGGTCAAGAACAGTATCAGACTGTTCCAGTGCCGCCTGTTTTCAGTTTAAACTATCCCACACAATTGCCTTCGCCTCCTTACCCAGCAACGGGAACAGTTTATGTACCAGCTAGTGAATCACGCGGCCCTTTGCCCAATTATCCTGGCAGTAATGTCCAAACACCCTGTACTGATGATAATGGACAGCAAAGACAATTGCCTAATTATTATGGAGCGCTTAATGGAAATCAATTGGCTCCTTATGCCAATACTTTAGGAGGAAATATTCAGCCCAATTACTTGCCCTCCTATATTGCCTCGAACACTGTTAATCAAGTGCCGTCCCAGCAAGCTGGACTTGTAGGAGCTGTTAATAATGGTTTTGTAACCAATCCTAGGGATCAGTATATAGGCTCTTGGTCTTCAACTCCTAGTCTTCTTAGGGCTTATGACAATACCATTGATTCCTTGGAAACCTGTTGTGTATCTTCGTTCCAGCAGAAACGTTTATATTTATCCAGTCCCGGTTTTCCTCGTACTGTTTTTAGCAACATTTTGCCGAATTTCCAAAAACGGGATTGTGTATTCCGTCTGCAAAAATCTTCCTCAAGTGTTTGTCGTTTGCGCTTGGATTTCAAATTTTTCGATTTTGGTCAGAGCTATCATGGTACAGGTTCTTATATGGGCAACATAGGAATGCCCGCCATTCAGAATACCCAAAATGTCTGCCGTGAGGACTTTATTGAAATTGATAATCAGCGTTTTTGTGGCTGCCGATCGGGCAATATGTATACATCCTATTGGACTAATGCGGGCGATAAAAAGTTGAGAATGCGTATGGGCTATTCGGGTGTACCCTCGGGAGGTTTTCTATTGGAACTAGTTCAGGAGGAATGTTCAGAAACTCAACTTGCTCTCATGACCACTAAAAGGCCGCCAACCATGAATCCTAATCTTATAAATAATCAATTAATTGGTACTCAACAACTGGCACAACCAGCATTATTGGGACAACAACAACAAAATCTGTATCCAGGACAACAACAACAAAATTTGTATCCTGGACAACAACAAGCAATAAATGGTGCTTTATATCCCTCGCAGCAACAACAACAGCAGCAGCCACAAAACTTCTATGGTGGTTCTTATCTAAGCAATTATCCGGGACAGCAATCGTTCCTACAAAATCCTTTACAACAATCCAACTATTTAGGTCAACAACCCCAACAACAACAGTTGTTCAATACACCAGCAGGCTTTTCTACGAATTTGCAGCAACAAAATCCCTTTTTAGCCCAACAACAACAACAGCAGCTACAGTCTCTACAAAACAATAACCTCTATCAACCTAGTTACCCATCACAATTCGGTTCCAATTATCTTTCTCAACCCGATTTTCAACATAATCTTTTACAACAACAAGGTTTTGCCAACAATCCCTTCGGTCTCCCTCAAATAAGATATGCCCGTTCCTATGGTGATCAACAGCCTGTTACCGTAGTTGAAACAAATTCTACACGCAAAGAATACTACTATTCACCCGACAATGATTCCTTTAACTTAAATGAAGATTCACCTTTAATGTCTAGATCTAGTTCATCGGAATCATCTTCGAAATGGGATCGTAAGGATACTAATGTTAGCGAGAAGAACGAATCCACGGGTAATTCGGTTCGAGAGAGTAGAAAGTGTTCATTTGATATGGGTGATATATTGCGTTTATCTGTTGATATTCTATGGATAACTAAACCGATATGTTATGCACCTCAGAGAAATTGGTTTACTAATTGGATTGGTTAGAGAGGGGAGCAAATTGCAAAATATATAAATTTATCTTTTAGTCGAGAGTATTTCATCTGTAAATTGTGTGTTCAAATTTAATAAAATATTAAATATATATTTTAAAATTAATCGCGTTACGTTGGTTTTTTTTAATCCTACCTACTGTAGCCTAATAGATTAGATTATAGCCTTGACTACAGGCATGTCTATACTAGCCAGTACTATAATCTAGTCAGATGTTTTTATTATAGACTGGACTATGATCTACTAATTAGTCGAAACAGTAGTATATTTTACAGTATGACCACTACACTAGTCTTTTGTTTGGCGGGTATGCTGAACTTTCGTGTGGTCTGCAATTTGGACTGTCGCCTAGTAAATATTGTTCTGTATTAAAATGTAGACTTTATTGTGGAGTATAGTCTAAATTTTTATTTATTAGTCTTTAGCCATTCTTTAGTGTAGACTATACTTTGGAATTTAGTACATCAGTTATGGTGGTCCCTAGTAGGTGATTAGTTAATGTTCTAGTTTGTTAGACCGGAGGTCGTTGCCCGGTCAAGGTGTATTCCTTCGGACATACATTCGTCCTTTCAAACTAACTAACTAACTAACTAACTAACTAACTAACTAACTAACTAACTAACTACTACTAACTAACTAAGACGACTAACTAACTACTACTAACTAACTAACTAACTAACTAACTAACTAACTAACTAACTACTAACTAACTAACTAACTAACTAACTAACTAACTAACTACTACTAACTAACTAACTAACTAACTAACTAACTAACTAACTAACTAACTAACTAACTAACTAACTAACTAACTAACTACTAACTACTAACTAACTAACTAACTAACTAACTAACTAACTAACTAACTAACTAACTAACTAACTAACTAACTACTAACAACTAACTAACTAACTAACTAACTAACTACTAACTAACTAACTAACTAACTAACTAACTAACTAACTAACTAACTAACTAACTAACTAACTAACTAACTAACTAACTAACTAACTAACTAACTAACTAACTAACTAACTAACTAACTAACTAACTAACTAACTAACTAACTACTAACTAACTAACTAACTAACTAACTAACTAACTAACTAACTAACTAACTAACTACTAACTAACTAACTAACTAACTAACTAACTAACTACTAACTAACTAACTAACTAACTAACTAACTAACTAACTAACTAACTACTACTAACTAACTAACTAACTAACTAACTAACTAACTAACTAACTAACTAACTAACTAACTAACTAACTAACTAACTAACTAACTAACTAACTAACTAACTAACTAACTAACTAACTAACTAACTAACTAACTAACTAACTAACTAACTAACTAACTAACTAACTAACTAACTAACTAACTAACTAACTAACTAACTAACTAACTAACTAACTAACTAACTAACTAACTAACTACTAACTAACTAACTAACTAACTAACTAACTAACTAACTAACTAACTAACTAACTAACTAACTAACTAACTAACTAACTAACTAACTAACTAACTAACTAACTAACTAACTAACTAACTAACTAACTAACTAACTAACTAACTAACTAACTAACTAACTAACTAACTAACTAACTAACTAACTAACTAACTACTAACTAACTAACTACTAACTAACTAACTAACTAACTAACTAACTAACTAACTAACTAACTACTAACTAACTAACTAACTAACTAACTAACTAACTAACTAACTAACTAACTAACTAACTAACTAACTAACTAACTAACTAACTAACTAACTAACTAACTAACTACTAACTAACTAACTAACTAACTAACTAACTAACTAACTAACTAACTAACTAACTAACTAACTAACTAACTAACTAACTAACTAACTAACTAACTAACTAACTAACTAACTAACTAACTAACTAACTAACTAACTAACTAACTAACTAACTAACTAACTAACTAACTAACTAACTAACTAACTAACTAACTAACTAACTAACTAACTACTACTAACTAACTAACTAACTAACTAACTAACTAACTAACTAACTAACTAACTAACTAACTAACTAACTAACTAACTAACTAACTAACTAATAACTAACTAACTAACTAACTAACTAACTAACTAACTAACTAACTAACTAACTAACTAACTAACTAACTAACTAACTAACTAACTAACTAACTAACTAACTAACTAACTAACTAACTAACTACTAACTAACTAACTAACTGACTAACTAACTAACTAACTAACTAACTAACTGACTAACTAACTAACTAACTAACTAACTAACTAACTAACTAACTAACTAACTAACTAACTAACTACTAACTACTAACTAACTAACTAACTAACTAACTAACTAACTAACTAACTAATTTGATATAAGTATTATTATCATTCGTAAACTTTTTCACACCCATCGTAGATTTGAAGCGAATACCGGAAGAAGGTACTTACGTCCTTATAAGCGATCCTTTTGGAACTCTTTCCTTCCTCTTGCTCCTCTGGTTTAGTTTCGATCGTGACTATAACAGTTAAATGGATTAATGGAATTTTTGAATTTTAAAAGAACCCATAATATGGAATACATAATATGTCCCCGATCAATATTTCGATTTGTTACCATCTTTTTTGATATTGAGTATAAAAATATTTAATTAAACTATAGGAATTAGGGGAATAAACGCGATAAAAAAATACACAGTCTAAGAACAAACTCAATTGTTATATGAAGACTAAAAGAAGTCATCAATGATTTAATATTTAATTTAAATTTTTTTATTTTTTTTTTATTTATATGTATGTATTTTATTTTTTTTTTCATAATTTAAACAATTTTACAACATTTAAAAACTAATTGATATGATTTGTTTTTGTTTTATTTCTTTTTTTCCATTATTTAAAATATTTAATAAATTATTCACTTTTAATTTATAATTGCAGTTTCTTGATTTGATATATTTTATTTGATAAATTTTTATTTACATAAATATTTAAAATTAATTAAAGTTAAGTTATTTTTTAATAAAATATTTTTAAATTTACTATATATTTTTGTTTTTAAGTTTTTTTTTCATAAAAAGTGCATTTGTTTTAAATATTGTTAATAATACAAATGTGTGTTTGTGTGTACATATGTATAATTTATATATATATTTTTTTTTTGTGATTTAGTTTTTAAGTCAGTTAAGTTAATACTAAGTTAAGCTGCTCGAAGGGCATTTTAAAGTTTAAATAAGTGCTATTATTTCTCCATTTTGTTTTCATGTACAGAATTTTAATAATTTTTTTAGTTTGGCTGTTCCTTTTTGGGAAATTTTTGATTTTTGCGTATACTTTTATTTAAAAACATATTTCACTCTCCAATTTAATAAAACGCCTCTTCTTCTAAATTTGTCTTCAACGATTTTTGAGTTATTTAACCCAGGAAACGTATATTTGTAAAAATAGCTTTAGCGGGACGTTTGCGATTGCAAAAACTTACGGTTTTACCATTTTTACCGTTACGATTTTCATGTAAATTTACCAATAGTTTGAAAACATCTTCTTTGGTGGGAGTACAGGCGTAACGTAGTTCGGGATCATAGGTGCTGGAAATCATAGAGATAGAGGTTAAATATATGTATATCTTCCTGATTATGACATTCTTTCGTATATTTACCTGCGGTTCCTGTTGTGACGTTTCCATGGGTAACGTCTGTAATAACGCGAACGTTTGGCCATACCATTGTTGTTATCATTGAAGTCTAGATTATTATTGTTGTTATTTGTTTCCTCAACGGGTAAATCTTCTTCAACATAGACAATGGGAAGAGTATCGATTGTAGGATCCTTCAAAAATAAAAAAACGTATTTCAATTTATATATTGAGAGAACAGAGAGTGTGAGAGTTAGTTTAAATAAAATGTCAATTAAAACTCTCTTAAGGTCTATATTCCGATATTTTAGTTAAATTTTTCATTAGTTATTTCTCACCTCTAGCATTTTCATTAGAACTGCTGATTTACTAACGAGATCCTGTTCTTCCTGTATGTCTCTTTGTAATTTACGTAACATGTCATATTTGCTGGCCAATTCCAATTCATTGTACACAGTATCGGCATAGTCGGGCTCCATGGGTAACGTGCCTAACTCTTGACCAGTAGCTGCAATATCGGCATTCAAAGCACGTAGAAGTTCTTAAATTTAAAGAAAATTAAAACGTTAAAAATCTGTCAATAAATCTAATTAAGAATTATTAAAGTTTAAGAGCTTAATATTTTGGATTGAAGCCTTCTTATAGGAACTATAAAAAGTTCCAATTTCCCTAGAGGTTCAGGTGTTAGGATAACTTAATAGTTCTTATAGGATATTTCAAGAGTTCCTATATGAAATCTCTACGATTCCTAAATGATAGGTCAAGGATTCTTGAAGAAAATTTCAATAGTTCTTATAAGGAATTTAAAGATTTGCTGAAAGCATTTCAGGAGTCCCAGCAGCAAATCCTGACAGGAAATATAGAAAAACCAAAGAGTTCTTAAAAGTTCCAACTGGAAATCCTAAGAAATTTCATAAGAGAAATAAAGAGTTCTTAAAGAAAATCGGAAGAGTTCCTAAATCAAGTTTAAAGTCTTCCTACTGGAAATCTTTAAAGTTTCCATATTAGAACCCTATGAGAAACCTAAAGAGTTTTTAAAAGATTCTGAAGAGTTCTTAAAAGAAATTTTAAGAGTCAAGAAATCCCAAAAGTTTCCATAAAAGTACTAAAGACCTTCTAAATGAAATCGGAAGAGTTCCAATAGTTATAAAGGGAATTTCAAGGGTTCCTATCGGATTTCCTAAAGAATATCTAAAAAGTTCCTAATGAAAATTAAAGAGTTTCCAGAGTTCTTTAAAGAAATTTTAAGAGTTCCCGAAGAAAAGGCAACGTATTTCTGAAGGAAATTTGATGAGTTTCCAAAGAAAATTATAATATTTCATGAACAATAAGAATTTTTGTAGAGTTCCTAAAGAAAGTCTGAAGAATTTCTTAAAGAACTCTTATTCTTCCTATATAAATGTCAAGAATTTCGATAAAAGACTTCCTCAACGAAATCTAAAGAGTTGCTAAAGGTAATTTCAAAACTTTTTGAGGTAATCTCGGGAGTTCCGGGAGAAAATCAAAAGTTTTTCAAGAGATTCCTTAGTTATTCCTAAGAGAAATCTAAAGAATTCTTGATTTATTTCTTCTGATAATAAATCTAAAGAGTTCCATATCTAAAGAGTTTAAAAGTTATGAAAGTAAATCTCAATGACATGATATCCCTTAGGAAATGTAAAGATCTCCTATATGGTATTAAATTTTCCATATGATATCCTGTGCAATCAGACAAAGAGAGGAAGCTTTCAGAATATTGTTTAATACAAATACTGACATGCTGCGAAAAAAGATTAGATCTTCGTTTGCCAGAGTACTTAGAACAAAAAAAGCTCTACACAAGCAGTGCCTTCCAGCTAAGGTTCCTGTTGTTCCTAGAGGTAATAAAACGTTTTGATTGTTCGTAAATAGAGTAAAGGATAATGCAAATTCTTCAATTCCGAAGCTTTTTGGGGACGACCAGACATTCATGGACTTTTAGCTGAGTTATGAGCAAGTAATTATTTTTTGCGGCCAGATATATTTTTTCGAGAGCTTGTCGCTAAAAGGGTTTTAGCGGATCGTAACATAAATTAATGTTCTGGACCTGATGACATACTGACACTGGTCTAGGTAGCTAATCTTTTCTGCATTCTACACCATGGCGGCAAATTTCCAGGATGCTGAAAGATTACTAATATACCGTCAATTCTTAAAAAGGGAGAGCCTGCTAAACCCAATAACAATTTGTTATGCACATTCCAAAGTTATGGAAAGTATTATTTACTTCCATCTTGTCAAATATACAGATATCTACAATTTACTCAGCGATTGCCGAGGTTCTCAGAGGTCGTTCTACTAGGCATCCTTTCGAAGAAAGTATGTCTTTTCATTGGTGTCTCCAGATATTTCCTAGGCGTTTTAAAGAGTGTGACATGGTGCGCTTACTTATGTATATCAAAACTAATTGTAGTTGGTTTCGGTAATAATTGCTCTCGATTTATTTTAGGCATTCTCAGAGATCGTACTATACGAGTTGTTATAGATGATATCTCACTTAATGACCACTAAGTTCTCTTCTTTCTCTTACCCTATTTCTTATTTCCAAAAACGACCTTCTATGTCAAACTTCCAACTCTATCTACTCTTTTGCCGATGATTGCAATTTAGGGATTGAAATTTAGAGATTATTGCAATCAGGCACAATATGAATGATTCGCTCAATCACAACGTGATGACAACATTTGAATGGTGTAGTGTTAACAGAGTCGATTTAAACACCCGCAGGACTCAATGTTGTTTTTTAAACACCTAAACGCATGTCATATAACGTTGTTCCATCTATATTTAAAAGTGATGTAAATATTAAGGAATCGGAGATTTTGAGATTTACTGGAGCACAATCGCAACGTGGGTTATATTTCACTGCGGCGAAGGTACTTATCGGTGACAGGGTATCCAACTTAATTGATTCACTGCAATACCGTCTCACTAACAATAGAATGTGTTCCTTTGAAATTGGGGAACTCGATCCCGATACCCAAAACTACGTCTTTCTCCCACAACCTATTTACCTAGTTTCAACACAATGCACTGCAGAAGTAAAGATCATCCCCTGTGTGCTGGTCCAAGATATCTTTTCGGAAATCTCATGAAATCCGTTAGAAAATTTCAAGATTTCGGATGTTAAATCTCAAGACACTTTATGTTTTCTAAAAAATATATAAGACTTACTAAAGGAATTCGCATGAAACTAGAGAAAATTTCTAGAATAACCATTGTAATTATCAAATGTTCGAATATGAAATCAAATGAGTTCTTATAACTAATCACCAGCGGGTTCATTACGAGTTCCTTTTAATATTTATTCAACTTTTTTAAAAACATTTTCAAATTTACAACAATTTCCTATTTCATATTTCAAATGTGTATAGAAAGTATTCAAGGAATTAAGAAAAAATATATAAATACTAAATAACATTTTAAAACATTTTTTTGCTTCATTTCAAAGAATACATTAGACAATCTCGGCAATCTTGTGGTCAATTGTTGTTAAATGCAATAAACGAAAGGATAAAGAAAAGGATAGACAATGAGAGAAACCAACAATAAATACAAACAGATTGCAGATATACTGACAACTAGTTGGTAACTGTGTCATTTGTTCCACATGATGAACGCAAGAAAAGAAGGAGTATTGTGTGGTGTTGAATGAAACGGAAATTAAACATATTTTGTATATGTATGCGAGACATTATGACATTTACTCTTAAGTGTACATAGTGGACATCCCAGCTAGCATTTAGGAGATTGTTGGATGATTAATCAGTAAACTGAGTCATTTTTGACTCCTTTTGATGACCTAAAAGTGATTAATAAGTTGAGCGCTTAAAAAATGACTCGAAAATGATCCCGATATATGATTGAAAACTGAATATTTGATAAAACAATAACAAAATGTATAGCAATCATAAATTTATCATCCTGGTGTTTAAAATGTGATTATTTTAAAAAATTTATTTTGTGGTCATATTTCAAGCAGTTGGAAGATCTAAAATTGTTCCTTATGTAATTGTTTTTATTTGTAATGAAATAGCAACACTTACACTTAAAAATTACTCAAAAACGATTCAAAAATGTGTCGAAACTGATTAGAAATGGGGCTCAGAAAAGACTCTTTTGCAAGAGTTAGCAAAACATTTTGTGTGGCCTAAAATGAGTTGATATAATTCTCATTTCGTTTATAAAATTAAATGTATAAGTATTTGAATTTGTGTGATATTTATAAAGTCGATTTTCTGTCAAGGAAATTGAAATTATATTATGCTTTAATTATAATAATTTTCTGTGTTTAATGATCTTCTACGGAAGATAGTTGGGCTACTAATCACTAAACTAAGTCCAAATAATCCAATTAATGTTTGAAGTCTGATTTATTTGAAGAACAATAACAAAATGCATACCAATCATCCAGATGTTTGAAATATGATTGTTTATAAATTTAGTTTGTAGTTAAATTTCGCGCAGTCGGAAGATCAAAAACTGTTTGCTGTTGTATTGTATTTGTCTGTAAGAAACATAAAATTGCTCAGAAAAGACTCAAAAATGACTATAATATGATTCGGAAATAACTCAAAAACGACCAGTTATTTGGCTCATTAATGACTCAAAAAAGATTAAAAAATTAGTCATAATTGATCAGAAGTGGGGCTCATATATGACTCATTTAGAAGAGTCGCGGGTAGGGTACCATTTTCTCCCGACGAATGTATCATTTATGATCAGAAAATGAGCGCAAATATGATAATTTTAATCGTGCAGAAGAGTCATTAATGACTCGAATGTGATCAAAAATTTAAAAATTTGCTAGCTGGGATACATACAGTCATGCATATGTATATACATATGTATGTATAAGTAAATGTATACAAATGTTTACACAGTCATATTTATGTATGACACTTCTTCATAGTGACGTAATGTTTGTGACGTATGGGTATTTTGCAATATCTCTTTACAATGCGTATTTATTCTAAAAATAGTTCATATTAGAAATGTTGTTTTGAAAAAATGTTACAAATTAAATGCTTGTAGCAACATATTCATAGAAAATTATATGATTCTTATTTCTGTGGTAAAGATAGGAAAAATGCAAATATGTACATTTGCATTATTTCAAAAACTATTTATTAAATTTTCAAATTTGTATGTAGCTTGAACTCAGGAAATAGATGTTCAAATTTAGTTATAATTTTAAAATTAGAAAATTTTGTAATAAGATTTTTATATCTACATATTACATACATACTAGTATTTTTAATTATTTTATTAGAATAGTTTCTTTGTTTCCTGTTAAAATTAATAAATTGATGAACATAATGGTATGATGATTTAAGGGAAAACTGTGTTCATGGTTAAAAAAAGGCGGTTGCCTTTGTTGATATTAATAATCATGGGATCTATCTACATGTTACGCTAAATCTTAGGAACGATATGCATGAAGTACTGGGTCTTTGGTGGAAGTAATCAAAAAATGAGCTTTCTGCAAACTGAATCACGATTATATTTTACCATATCTAATGT